GTCTTGGCCCAGGTCTTGGAGTCCTAGTGTCCTGGCAAACAGTCTTTCACGCCCTCTTCAAGAACATCCCTCCACCTTCTGTCTCGTGTTGTCTTTTCTCTCTCCTGAAGCCCTGACACTCATGGGAGACTAACCTGGATTGAGCTCTGAAGATCACACATGAAGTATTTCTTATTTCTAGACCAACCTGTACCGTCTAAATCCTACAATGTAAGTTTATCTCGTCCTCCTCTCACTTTGACATTCTGCTTGTTCATTCTGTCTCTGTCCTCTCACTTTCTCACTCTCTAACCTTTAGCATCTTTATCCCTACATTTTCTCACTGCCAGTCCACCTGTTCTTCTTTAATTAAGATAGATATATCAGAGCTGTCTGTGCCAGAGTCCTGCTGATACACCTGGCACAGGTTTGCAGTCACAGATTCCTGACCTCTTTGACCTGTTATGGCCTTCCTCGTTTTTTTCTTATGTGCTTACAGCTTAATTTTCTCTGTTTAACCTCCGGTGTCTTGCTTTGTACGAGAAATTTTAGAAAACAAACGTAATTGTTAACCACTGCATTTAGTCCCAGTGTCTTTATAAAGATTTCAAAGCAACTTGGTCCAGATACCTGCTGTTTCATCTGGCAAATGGGCAGCTATCCTGTCCAAACTGTTGTGTGTCCTAGCCATGACTTTGTCCACACAGCCAGGATCTCAGGACCCAGTGGCTTGTTTATTGCCCAGCAAGAGAACTGATAAGCATGTGTGAAAAGATGATTGGATTGTGTGCACATGTTTTTTTTTCCTCTCTTTGTGAGTGCATAATAGGGCACAGTACTAAATACTAATAATGAAAAAAGAGTCTCTTAATTTATGTTTAATTTCCTTAATAGATTTTTTAAGAGATGCCAAGTAAACGGTTTAAATAAAAACAAAATACTAAAATATTTTTTTTTTATCCAATGTAATGCATAGAATATATAAGTGCTTATTTCAGTACAGCATGCCCCCAACAACCTCCAGCAAGCAAACAGGGCAAGAGAGGCAAAACTCGGGGGAAAAAAGGTTGCTAAGCTTTTCCTGTAGCTGCTCCTTAAGCTTACTGCTGTGAGTGCACAGTGGTCAGAGAAGTCGACTTGGATGAGTGTATCAACATATTGTTCAGCTCCTTCCTTCTCTTGTCTGGATTTTGGCAGCTTGAAAATCAAAGGACACAACTGACATATTTAGAAAATTGAGAGGGGCGTGTCCAGGGGGGGATATAAAGCCTGGGATTATTACTTTTCTATTTATACTTATGATATAAATCAAATCAAATCAAAACAAAATTGATCCAAATTTTCTGTCACAATGTGAATCTAATTTATAGTATGGTGAAATATATGCCTTGTTTGAGTGCCATTAAAGGATTTTAAGTAGATCCAGTTTAAGTTTTAGTATTAAGTATAATATACTTGATAATAACACACCATTGCATTTCCCTTTGATATTAGTCTTTTGGTTTGTTTTGACATTTTAATTATTTGGAATCTAATATTGTGTCAACTTTTATGTTGCATATGCATGTGGGTGTGTGCATGAAGACAGTGGGAAACAGAGAACGACAGAGAGAATAAAGGAAGAAGAGAGGTTAAGAGCATGTTGGGTTGTATGCATACTGATCAGTGTGTGGAAATGCTAGATTTAGGTGTGCTGTATGTGTGCTGTGTTAGCTGTTAGGTGCATCATTAAGAGCAATTGGACGCACAGTGCCAGAGGATCAATGTCTCTGATGGCAAAAAGCACAACACACCAGAACTGTACTGAAACAGAAGAATACATACAGAGGAGTTCCTGTGTGTGTTTGTTAGAGAGAGATAAAAACAGCAGATACCAAACAGAGGGACACAAAGAGGAGCAGCTCATCGTCTGTGTGTCATCACACAGAGACAGAACTGAACACCTAGACATTGAACGAGAGGAGAGAACGGAGAATTGCACCTCGATGTGTGAGGGATTTGTTATTTTGAGCTAGTTTTTTTTGTTGAGTGGTTGGGGGGGTGCTGCTGCTGCAATCGGCCTTTGTTTCTCACTCAGTGAGCAGAATAATAAGATGAGATTTTCTCGTTCCTTCGCCTTTTCTGTTCTGTCTATTTTTCTATTTTTTTCAATTCTATTCTCATCTTGCTTTCAACATTTGCAATGGCTTTCTGAATGGCTGCAATTTTGTCATGTTTAAAGGGTAACTACACTCTCAAATTCTGCTAGAGCACATTTAAAAAAAGCAACAGATGAGTGGGTGAGCAAAGACTGTAGGAAGCACTGTCTTGTGGCTACGTAGTGTGTGACGCAGGGGAGACTATTATAAAATATGACCGTAAATATTTCTAATTTCTGAATTCTGGAGTTCTATTGTAGCTCACAATGTCATAACATCACAGGTCGTCTTCTGTATCTTAAAACGACATGATGATGAACTCTACTGTAAGTCACAAAGACATTGCTTCACTTCTTTGTAGTTTGTAGTACAGTGTATTATTTGGTTTAGTTAACTGTTTCTATTAAACTGAACAATAGATTATTTTTACTACTATAACTCTCACGTAATTGTTATTATTGTGAACAATAAACAATAAACTCTAAGGGTTTTAATGGAGAGAAAATATAATTTCTGTTAAATAAAGACAGAGAACCGCCTGCTGCATGAACTCAACTAATAACTCCTGTCTTGGATTTTCCTGTATAAAACAGGACACAACATCTGTAAACAGGTAACCCATGGCTGAGGCCTATAACACAAGCAGCACATCACTAACTAATAATGTTATTACATATGTAGGGTTAATGGTTATGTTAGAAAACAACAACATTCACGACAAGCTCATCCAAAGTGAAGTATGTCCATACTGTGTAATGTTAGCGAGGCTGTCCTGCTTTTTGAGGTATTTTGGGGGAATTCACACTTCAGTAACTCTGGCAACGTTACCCAAGATAGTATAGTAGCCTGATCTCACCTTTTTTTTTTTTTTTTTATTAATAGTGATTTTTTTATTGTTATAAAATACTGTGATAAAATTTACTTTCAACTGTTTCCTTTAAGCAATATTGCTGGTTTTTGGCAGGAAATCAGAAGGTTTTGTTTGAAATATAAAAACCAGATGTTTCAAAAATGACTCAGAGGTTCAGGCTGGTAAATCTGTCACCATTATCATTTTTAAACTGCATTATGCTTGACAGACCAAACCAAAGTAAGCAAGCAGTCATCCTGGCTTTGTCCTTAAAAACTTTGGCTGTCCCATACTCTTTAGTTTCTGTGTCTGTTACTCTGCAGCTATGATGGGCAGTCCTGTCTCTCTTTGCATACCGAATCAATGAACAGTACATGTACATGTGTCAAACTGTCATTCCTCATCATCGTCACTATGTCCTTGTCTGTCTGTGGTGATCAGATGATAGATGGTATGTGTCTGTGTGTATGTGTATATGCATGTTTATGCCTGTGACCCTTATGTATGTCAGAAAGAGGAAGTATATTGTATATGTGTGTGTGTGTGTGTGTGTGTGTGTGTGTGTCTGGTGGGTAGGACATTTATTCATGCATTTTCTTACTTTGCGTGTGTTTCTGTGCGAACGAGAAAGAGAGAGAGAGAGAGAGAGAGAGAGAGAAGCCAGAGACAAGCTGGAGGCCTGAACCAGTTGCTTCAAAATGCTACTGTCCGACTTCTGACACATCAACAATGCCTAACTGTGTGTGTGTATGTGTTGTGTGTGTGTGTTTTATCCCTGTTCTTTTAAATAGTGAAAATTCCTTTAAATAGTTAGCACTCTGTTATGAGTTATGTCATCATCAGTTATGTATTCATGCCATCATCGTACCTTTTTTCCACAGCTCATTCATGGTTACTATTAACAGAGAGGCAAGCTGTCAATAACTGTCAGCATTATTGTGGCTAAGCTTTAGGCATAATAAACAACTGTGTTTTTTTCATGGTTGTGAGGCAACAATTAACCTATGTCTGCTTTGTTCAATACAGGACTTCCCCAGTTTCAGAAAGTAATGCACCATTAATGTTATTATTTCACATCATAGGAGGAAGTTATTTATGATTAGAACTTATAGACCAAATTGAAGGAATAAAACAACACAATATATGTTAGTAAGGTGTGAATTGGTATACATTCTACAAGTCTCTGGAATGATAAACACATTTCCTCCAACACCTACTCCCTCATTTGGTGTTTTGATGAAAGTGTCGCACACGTCGCCCAAAAATGTCTCAAGGGTGTTCAGTTGCGTTGAGATCTGGTGACTTTAAAGACTATAGCACATAATTCAGTGATTTATGCTGTTCATTTCACCAAGGAGAGATTTATTACAGCTTCTTCCTTTCATTTATGCGTCTAACTCTAGTCTGCCCCTGTAATGGTCAGTTATGTGTGGCACTGTTGTTTTACACTGTAGTAAATAACATAAGTCCAGTTGTTCTTTTTTTCTTCAAAAACCTGCGATATTTCTTTAAAATATTGTATCCAGCTAACATATTCACACTGGTGGAGCAAACATGCATTTATGAAAGGGACATTATTAAAATCAGGGTTGGGGTTTTCGTTCTTGTGAGTTGCTGCCATGATCTGATATAATATGCAGGACGAAAAAAAACAAAAAGAAAATAAGCCACGGCACTCAAACATGACTCATGTGATTGGATGAGAGTCAGACTCATAACAAATACATTATCCCAATGGGTGCTTGTGCTCCCTTAACCACTTCCTGACTCAGTATGTGCATCAGTGTGGGGAGATTTAGTATTTTTTATCATACTGATACAGTTTGTCAATACTGTACAGTATCTCTGACATCTGTGCATGCTGCCTGTGTTCTGTATGTGTCTTGTTTCATTCATATCACTAGTTTAATCCATTAGTAATTATTCAAACATGCCCACATGTGGTTGTAAAGTTGTGTTTCTCCATGTAATAGTGTGTGTGTGTGTGTGTGATGTGTGTGTGTGTGTGTGTGTGTGTGTGTGATCCTACTCACCCACAGCCTTGAGTGAGGTGTACTTGTTAAAACCAATACCCAGGTTGTTGTGAGGATGAGACAAGGCCATGGCTGGACCCAGGGGAGGCAAGGCTGCATTGTTCAAATGGTTATGATCTGAGGGAGCAAGAGACAGGCAGAGGGAGAAAGTTACATATAAATAGTGGGCACGTATTAAATGCATTTTGCAAGTTTCAGCCAAAGAAAATGCAAATCAGTACATGTTTCCATCAACTGGTGTTCTGAGAATATTCTCAAGCTGAACTAACAATATTACACAATTAAAAGTCTGGTACATTGTGGCCTTTCACGACTGATGCCAACTTAAGATGACATTTATGTTTTTTTAGTACACTGTATCCAGAAGGTGACATAAGATGCTAGTGAGGCTCTTTTTTTGGAAGAGTGGATGTAATGATTATTGAAGGCTCGATAACCAGCTGCGCATTCCTATCAGCCCTCATTGCATAGCGTTTCTGCCTAAAATAACAAATATATTCATAAAGCCTTTAGATGTGCAGGTTACCCACGACAGAGGCAAACATTACTTAAAATAGCCCTGCTAGCTGACAGGCAAAATAACAAACACAATTACAGAATACAACCTGCATAGATATCTCCTTACATTGTAACAGACACACAAATACAGTTTGCTTTCTTTAGGAAAAATATGACATTATGAGTCACAGAGTTTGATTTTGCTGTATTACATTTACATTTTTTCACTATACCTTTCCTTGTTTATGTTAATTCAGGCTGTTTAATTCATGTATCACAATCATTGGGTCATTTAGTCCAATGCATATGCATATGCATGTAGGTGTACAGCTCAGCCATTATAACACTCCCACTTTCATTACCCTGCTGATACACTCCCTCCTCCTTAGGTGCTTTGTTTCTTGGTATTAATTATTTAACTTTAATTTAATGGTCATGTTTATTAAGAGGAGATTTTTCTCCCAGCAGAATCTTCGTTTCTCAAATGTTTTGAGAGCGTCCTCAGAGTAGTCAGTTCCTTGACATAAGCATCTCTGACTGAATTATTGTTCATGATGCAGCTGAATATCAATAATGTATTTATAATAGTTTGTCCTACTAACTGATATTAATTTTTGTTTATATTGGTGCTCCTGGTAATTCTGGTAATGTTGTTATAAAGGTGATCCCATGTGTGTTACACATACATGGCACCTCTGATGGATGACAGTTTGGTTATTTCGAAATCTGAGGGACCTGAGTGCAAAAAGATGTTTGCTTTCAATGTTGATGTGACACTGGAGATTCCAGTTCTGCAGGTCAATTAGAATAAACTCTTCATGCTATAAAGACAATCTTTGATCATCCAAATATATATGTTTTTTAAATCAAAAATGTATCAAATTACAATGTGATACACGAAATGTGTTGGTTTTTAGTAATGAATCCAAAGATAATTATCACCCGGCTGCAGTTCCCCTCAGCTACACAGAGCTTTATAGCAGCTTTTAGCTCATTGTTTTAATTTTACAATGTAACACATTTAGTCTCATTGCTCTCATCAACCTCGTTTTTCTAGCAGCAAAAATACCTACTGTATGCCACCTGCACTGCACCATACAACAGACTGACACAGTTAGCAACGGGCTGGTGAACATAGTGATAGTTTCCATAAGATGAAGAAATCTCAATTCAAGGAAACATTCTGGTCTCACTTTGTTGTAGAAACAAGGGATAGCAGTTCATTTAAGAATGATACAACAATGTCTGAAAATATTCCACATTGCATCTTTTACTGTTAAACCCTCCTGGAGCCCACAGAAAAATCAAGGTCAGGCCAGGATTACCTCACTCCTAAAAAATGTCATAACCCCAAAAACTGTTTCCCACAGGGTTAAAGCACACACATACTCTCTCTCTCTCTC